TTTTCTTTAATAGAAAAATTTGAAATTTTTTATTCATCCATCTGTAGTTTTCTATTTCTTAGTTTAAAACTGCACAGAATCTTTTTAAAATTTTATTAATTATCTAAAAATCCACCTGATCCCAAAACATAATTACCTATTACTGGTGCAGTATACGCTATCAGAAATTTATTTCATGAATAATTATCTAATTGACTATAAGCAATGATCTACTGTAAGAAATAAACATGTATTTCAACTTAATGTTAAAATTTTGTATTTAAGTGTCTATCACCCAGTATGCTTACCTTAGGTAACATTGAGCTTGAGAAAAGCCACATGTACACAAATACAATATAAATTCACAAACTAATTTCTTCAAAAACTATTAACAAAACATTATTGACTTCGTTAACTTTCCATCTGACTAAAGGACTAGACTTTAAAGAAAAGCCTGATATGTCAGTAATGCCATCAAACTATCTTCTACTTTTTACTCGACAAGAAAAATAACTGACGTCTAGCACTAGCGGATCCAGGTTTTAATTTTGGAGGGGCTTCAGCCTGAAAGATTTTTTTTTTATATACATATAACGATAATTAGTTTGAAAAAAAAATTAATTAATTACCTATATGAAATGCTGTTTAAATGGTTCTTGAAGTCCTATTAAATATAATTACACATAAAGAATATGTTAAAAGATAGTTTTTAATATTCTTTTCTGTAAAACATGGTTACATTTTACCATTTTGGGGGGGGGAGGCGCTTCAGCCCGAAAGCCCCTCCTCCTCCGTAGATCCGCCTGTGACTTCTAGGCCTCATAGATCTCCATCCCTTTACTGCAGTTAACGACCATAGAGCGATTGTAAACCACACGGATCAGAACACCTCAAATCGCCCAGCTCAGATCAAAGCTTCCTCTCTGTCTAATTGACTCCAGACAGGACATCAAATGCCATCCAGCGCAGACGTCACCTGCTCTTATTTAAATGTTTACCTGCCCCTAATTATATAAATAAACAAGACGAGGAGAGGGTGACAGAAGGGACTCCATTAATTTTTGTTTCTAAATGCGTCGACGAGTACCGGCCATTCTTGGATAGTGAAGTTTAGCTTTAACAAGGGTGCCAGGTTTGGCAGGAGTCCACGAGCGGTGGTTTTATTTACGTCCCATCCAGACTCACTTTCCTAGACAGATCGCCCCTTTGGGGTTATTTAATCAAAGGAATCTTGTCGGGAGCTTTATAGAGTAGTGGATTCGGTCTGGCATCTTTGCGGCGCGGGGGACATACCGCGAGTTAATTGTTAAGATTACTTCTTAATTATTTATTTTCAGTTTATTTGGCACTTAAATGCATTTGTTTCACACTTTAAAAAAGTCTGTTATGCAATTTACTGTTATTTGGCACTTAAATATATTTGTTTCACACTTTAAAAAAGTCTGTTATACAATTTACTCTTAACTTATTAAATAAACCCTTTATTCAACGTAATGACATGTTAAGTGGTCCGTGCCTCCATTTCTTTTCTATTTTTATTTTTTTAATAATTCTCTCAAACACTGAAATTGATTTCTCCATCACTCTTTAAGTTAATTTTTTATTTTTTTTGTTTTATTGAGTATTAATACAGTCTGCCACACTGAAGAGCATTGGTACTAGGGCTATAGTATTCATTCACACAATATGTTTATAAGAAAGGGAAATAATAAAAATAACCAAGTAAGAAGATATAGAAAAAAAAGATATATATATAAATAAAAAGATAAAGTAATATACACGATAAGTAAAATAACAGATTAAAGCCGAATGATAACAAAATAAATAAAACACATCCACACCTATGTACAATATTTACATTGGCCCAGGGGACTCTGAATCAAGCTTTGTTCCCCAACTGTGGAAGCCAAAGCAGGACTCCAGGAGATCCCAGTGCTACTTACCCAGACGCATCACTGGTATAGTAAGCCAGTGGAGGCTGATGGAGTGCATTATAGCAACAGATGCTCAGGACACTCTTTAAATTAAAAAATGTATTTAACTAATTGTAACTTCACTGTGAATGGCTCTCATGTTCGAAACATTTTAAAATATATAGATTAACAAATATTTTTTGACGAACCAGAGTATTTTTATTAAATGTACACATATATTCGAATTGGAGTCAATACTCAACAATTCAACAAATTACAACTGTGATAAGTTTCACAACTTTTATATGTTGCATTTGTTTATCATATAAACTATACATACATATAGATAACCTTGTATGTATTCCATTCGATTGCTGAAGTATAAATAAAGAATTCATATTTTATATTTGTAGTGTTATACACAAAAATAACAATATCTCAAACCAGCCTGTATTGGATCTATGCCACTATTATTCTTCACCGCTTTTATATTGCTCATTTATCAAGAACTAGACGTCTCGAAAGAACACGTTTCAAAATACATCGTATATATTTTTTTTTTCACTTTGATAGTGTTTTCAACTAACAAAATTAATTGGAATAAACTCCATCTATAAATAACTTATTTTTTCAATGATTAAAAAAAAATTTTTTAATAAAGAAGAACATTTAAAAAAAAAAATAACAAATCGTGATTATATTTCGTTTGATCAGGAATTATTCTGATACAATGAATATATTTTGTAGTATTTAATTTATAATACATTTAATTTAACTGACAGAATAATTTAAAATATAAAACTCTTGAAGGTATGATGCTAACATGCAGGAAATAAAAATACTTTTGTCCGAATAAAATCGAAAATGTTCATCTACATTTTACGTTTTAGATACAAAAGTACATAATTGATTCCATGTTTGTGTAGTCGACTGTTTGAATTTCATCCAATTCTATCCTTCGAAAATGGCCCTTCCTCAGGATTATGTTCTCAAATGAACCATTAATTTATTAAATTAAATGACATCTTGATCTCTCTTTATATATAATTGAGTAATTGTCTATCCAATAGAAGTAATGAAACTAAGGTATATTGATCCTATATGACAGACTTTTTTTCGTACACACACTATTTGGAATTAGCACAAAGGACATATATGAAATGTTATGAATATTATTAACCTTTTTTTTTTATGTGGTGCCGGATTCGATGCGTTGTTTTAAATACAGGGATTTATTTTGTCAGTTGAAGAAGAATAATCTTCCTTATCGCTTGTTCGCTTGTAGCTGAAGAATCTCCCATCTCTTGGACCCATCCTTCCAGATCATGGCGCAACATGCTGGAGGCGCGGACAAAGTTTTATTCAGCCGACTAGGGGATGAAATATTAGGGTCTTTATTGCTGGAGAGGAGGAATGTTGCCGGCTGGGTTATCTGTTACATTAGTCCCCTGCCCTCGAGCGGGGGGGAGATGGAGGGGGCGAAGAATTTTATCTCACCGGGCCCGGAGGACCTATCGCTCACTAATACATTAACTAATTAGCGGCAACAAGGATCGCTCATACCTCTTGTTATCTCGGCTACCAAGGTGAAGTAGTGTTGTATCAATGCCTCTTCCTTTATGGAGCCAATTTAATTTATAACTATAACACTCTTAACAGAACCTTAAAGGCCAAGGAGCAATAATGAATAATTCATTTATTCCCAAGACCCACCTGAGGCACACTCAGCCTCATAGTACACAACAATCGTTGAAAATGAACTAATTGAAACCTTTTTGATTATATTTTGTTTTGCTTTTTATATCCTTCCCTTGTTATAAATTACACAATTACTATCGAAAAGTTCAAAGTTTTCTAGTCAAACACATGGAAAAACATAAAATAAGCATATAGAAACCAAAAAACAAAAAAATATATATTATGAATCTCTTCGGTCTTCTTTGAGTTTAAGATGGACTTCAACAGTATTATCTTCTTTAATATAATTCCTTAAAATATTATTTTCCTTGAGCAGCCCGTTATCTACTTGTAAAACTGAACTTTTTATTAAGGAAGGAGATGGTTCTGGGTCATAAATAGACTAAATAGTGGCAAAAACTATTTTTATAAACTATTATAAAAAAACTATTAGCAGCTAGAAGTTTCACTTAATACTATCGTTCTAAGTGAAACTCCTAGCTGAACACACCTTCCTGAAGAAGACCTGCAAAGTCGGGTCGAAACGTTGGCTTTTAATAAAATAGTTTTTGCCACTATTTAGTCTGTTTATGACCGCCACCCCGGACCATCTCCTTCCTTAACGATACAACTATTCAACTATTAAGTATTCAATAAACATTAAATGATAACGATTACTGTCGAAAATTGGGCAGTCATACAGATACATGAAAATATGAAGAAATATGATGAAAAGTTTGTCCATCGCAGTTGTCTGCATCAAAATTCGTCCGATAAAACTGTTTTAAGTAAAATATTCTTTGTCGATGTTGAGTTACCATGTATATCAACTATTAAATTCCTCTAAAATACAAAGAAACTTGAGATTTTTTAATTTAGACTTACCCTGTTACTCTGCTTAAGGTATCTCGTTTTGACCATGATATAACGTTACTTTCCTATTTTCCGACCTAACTGCTCAACTTTGCCTCAACATTTAAAAGTTATAAGGAAGTTTCTTTTTTTTTTTCTTAAATCAAGATTAAACAATAAATACACTTTTTTTTTATTTATCCTATATTATTATTTTATGATTACTAATTTAAATACATAAAGTTTTCTTGTTTTCTTTTAATTTTATATTTCAGTGATATAATTCTTTTATAATATATTTACATTATTGACTATGTTTTACACTACGCATTCTACTCTTTCCAAATTATAATTAATGCCAGAATTCATTTATAATTAACTTCATATCTTTTAAAAAAGTATATTATTTTATTTAAAAAATAATAATTCAGAAAGATATATGATAGTATTATTTTTTAATTGGAAAAGGAATGTCGTGCAATTTATTATAAATAGTTATATCATATTTTGTAGGCTCTAAAAGGCCGTTTTTCGTGATTCGATTATGTGTTTTTAAAAACAATCTTTCTCTAATTTCAGACTGCATTTGCATGGACCTCTAACTCAAGAATTGATCCAAAAATCTATGTAAGTAAAAAAATCTCTAAAAATTAAATATACTTGACTCAAAAATAAGTATTTAAGATAAACAGTACTACAAAAACATAGAGCACTGGCTGTATCAGATGTTTTGTTTAGTTTGTATTTATCAGGAGACCCGAAACAAACGAATGATCTTTCTTTGTTATATAGTCAATAAATCTTCGGCTTTCTAGAATAAGAGATACCAGGAGTTTATTCCTTCATGAATATGGTAATCCATTAGAGGATGGAATGGAAAAAACTCCAGTGGACTGGACGTAGGTGGGGGCGAGAGGGTGTCGGGGTCTGTGTAACAATGAAAGCATTAAATTTATTTTTATTTTTTACGAGCTAGAAAGGTATTTATATATCTTATTGACTTTTAATTTGAGTGTCTTAGAACAGAAAGATCTTTATAAACTAAATATTTATTAATAAATATATCAAGAGATATAGAACATAATTTTCTATTCATAAATTTAAAGACCAAACAATTTTAAAAATACAAAAATTAACCATTTATACGCCCCTACTAAAACTTAAGCACAGTATATATGTTTTAATATATTAGAAATTTTATTTTTTACAAACAGATTCGTATAAAAATAAAATAAAAATGAGGCATTGAAATTAATAAAGTATGCACCATTCCATCATGGCAGATAAATTTAAGACGTTTACCTAGTCAACCCAACAGTTGATAAAAACAAACATATTTAAATAGAATCTTTCAAGATTTTTTTATATTATTCATTTTTAGATAGAAAATGTGTCTATATTATGAAGACTGTCTTCTTTCTTCCCATGTTTAATGGATACAAATTGTAATAAATCCGATTGTTTTGTTCAGACATTTTCAAGTATATCCAAACAACTATGTATATTTATAATGATGTAGAGATGGTTGACCGTGATATAATATGAGAAGGAGTTGATAGTTTCAGCATCATAACCTTGTTTACATTTATACTTACATACTAAATTTCTTTTCTTGATTTTTTTTTTTTGATATAGAGTTATATATATTTAATAAATCTATCCTAACGATATTATAACTAATGTTATCCTATCAATCTTTCAATTTCTTTGTTTATTTACCTTCAGTCCCGTTATCTGTTTACCTCCAGTTATCAAATGTAACCTCCACTAGCTTGTTATCCACTGATATCTTATTCTTATTTTAGCTTTATCACATCAATACTTATTCAATTTTCAATCTCTTTATTCATTAACATTCATTTTCTTTATCTTTTAACCTACTGTTATCAAATGTAATCTTTATTAGTTTGTTATACACTCACTTCTTATATTTTATCACAATCTGTTTACTCTTAACTTACATACTATATTCTCCTTTGTTTTCTATTTTTATTCATACTTATTTTCTGTTTTTGTTTGTATTTTCTATATATGTAATATTTGATATTCTCAGTACATTGTCACCCACTATATCTCTGATATTATCTTATTATTTCTTTATCAGATAACTTTTTTTTATTTATTATTTACTTATTGTTCATTTATTTTATTTTCACCTTGTATCGTTTATATTTTGTATCTTTTGTAGTTTTGATGAAGACTTGCAAGGTGGGTCGAAACGTCGGCATTATAATTAAATAATAGTATTTCTATACTTTAGTATTTATTTGACCGCACCCCCCGATCAACTCCTTCCCATATGTATATCTATCTTTAAATATTCAATATTATATTTGTTCGTTGAATTATGTTGGATTTTTACATATAATAATAACTACTATCATTTGTTTTGATTTTTATTCTACGCCCCTCCTCCCCCCCTTCCTCCACAATCGAAAGAGAAAGTCTACGCCTATGCTACATAGATTTCTGAAATATTTTATGTAAATACCTACATTCATGTCTGGCCCAGATTGAATAACGTCAAACAGCCAATATACTTAAAGGAACATACTTTGATATGTCTATTGTATTTCATAGTTTAGATCTCTTTTGCGACTCTCAGAAGCGATGGATTTTGATGAATCAAATTGGAATAGGAGGGTTTTAAATTTGGGTTAGGAGGAAAGCACAAGTATGTTGTCGAATTTAAGGCACTTAATTAGTTAATAAATTAATTATAGAGCGAGCTGAGAGAAAGCGTTGAGAAGAGCGGTTGAGCCGTAAGGTGAACTAGGGTATAGGATGGAGGCAAGGTAGAAGGCAGAAGGTAGAAGGTATTCCATGTGACAGCGGCAGGTAGGGCCGGGTCCTCCAAGGCCGGCCATTACCACTCCTAACTAGTCCCGATCAAGTCATCATCTCTTCCTCCTCTCCTCCGGGCAATTAGCCTACACCGCAACCGCGGATTGGTCCTCGGGGAAGGGGAAAAAATCCGAGATGATAGGTCTAGGGGTAGGTGTTCTAGGATCTGTATGGCAGGTGGGAAGGAGAGGAAACATGGATGTGAGTTATGAAGGAATGCAGCAGGCACTGGCGATCCTGGGGAAGAGAGGGTATTTCGTGATTATCATTGATAAAAATTATTTTTATTTATTTATTTATATGACATTTACAACTGTATACAAAAAATACATCTGGTAAATTCGCACATGGATATAATGACATGAAACACATGTTGAGAAACTACCCATTGGGAGCACTCTAATAATATGTCTATATTAGTAGATCACGTGGCCATCTTCCTTTCAGACGCCTCGGAGGGTTAGCAGGAATTGAATAGGAAGCAAGGATAGAAACAAGAGGGTTATGAAGTTTATTATGGAAGGGCAGATATCTGGATTGGGCCAAATTTGATACATAAGGAACATTAAGGTCATTATGGATAATTTTATTTGTAACAAAGTAAGGAGCATTGAGGATTTTAGGAAGGATTTTGGATTGTAAAGATTGGATGCGAGAGGAATTTGAAGGTTTGGTGGAGCCCTATAGCTCAACTCCGTAAGTCCAAATAGGCCTTATTGTAGTCATGTAAATGGGTCTTTTATAATTAATTGGAAGGTTAGAGCGTTTGTCTAGTAAGTGTTGAAGTAGTTGGAATCGTCGAGCTGTTTCTTGTCGTTTCAGTCTTGTATGAGGATTCCAAGTTAGACGTTTGTCCAGATGGAGTCCTAGGTTTTGATAAAAATAAATGTTAACTTCATTGCAAAACCATTACAAAAAAAAAATTTCTCCGAAATCGTTGGTCAGTCGACCATCCGACATCTTGCTGCTTCGTATAAATTGGATTTTTTTCAGATATTCATTCACCAACTTCTTATTTCTTATGTCCGTCAAAGCAGGACATGTGTATAAGTTGTCTCTTTCCACCTTAATCTTTTTATTAAGAAATAATACATTTTGCCACACTAAGTATTAGAGCTGAGTGAGGCACATTCATACCATATATACCATACAATAAAAAATATATAACAAAGGGCAAAAACTTTAATAAAAACGAAAGATATGTAAAGAAGTGAAATTAAATAAAATACATAAATTCATAGAAAAAGAAGAATAAATAGATTTAAAAAAAAAAAACGTAATTACAATATTTACAATCAGCCTAGAGAGCTCTCAGTCCAGCATTTTTCCCCAGGTGTGGGGGACAAGGCGAGAATCTATGAGATCTCAGCGCTTCTCTCTCAGACGCGTCACCGACAAGTATATATATAAACAATAAAATTCATTCAAATAACAGATGCAATTTTCATTTTCGAGTCATACTGAATATTTAATAGTTGACCGTTGCATTATAAAGGAAGGAGATGGTCCGGGGTGGCGGTCATAAATAGGCTAAATAGTGGCAAAACTATTTTATTAAAAACCAACGTTTCGACCTGACTTTTCAGGTCTTCTTCAGGGAGATGTGTTCAGCCAGGAGTTTAGAGTTTAGTTAGTTTAGTTGTAGAACTGGAGTTCTAAGTAAAATTCCTTGCTGACCGCACCTCCCTGAAGAAGACCTGCTAAGTCGGGTCGAAACGTTGACGTGTAATAAATTAGTTTTGTCACTATTTAGCATATTTATGACCGGCACTCCGGACCGCCTCCTTCCTTCAATTTTCATTTTCATTTACAGTTAACATTTCTGCCCTTTAGGCTATTTTCAACAGAAGAAGTCTTACTTTATAAAATAAAAATAAAATCATTTAGGCTAATTTGCCATTTTGTTTAAATCCTTGCTTTTCTGAGCAAAATCAGAATATATATAATCATTATATATGTACTTTCATATATATTTATGAAATATATAGGATCGAGACAACCATTTACTGTGGCCAGTTAGAACAGTAGGTCATTATGTACTTGCTGGAAAATTCCAGGTAAGAAGAAATAACTGGAAAAGGTGTCCTGGGTCTTTGTTACTTCTCTACCTGAAGGTCTTCAATCTTGCATGGCACGCTTTGTTCCTTCTAGACTCAGGCCCGGATGTTCTCAACAACCAACATAAAAATTTCAAATTCGAATTTTGTTCTTGTGCGAAATGCTTGTTTGTTAAATTCATTATATTATATGAGTTTGTCGAATTCATGAAAAATGGTTACTGCAAAATAAATACTTTATTGTATGTCCAAAATGTTTAAATTTTAAAATCTTGAAAACGTTTCTTTAAAGAGAATTGTCCGTATACAATAATGTTAAACTTATATAGACCGCCATTCTTGATCATTTTCGCTGACCCATCACAACTATTGCCATGTTAGACCGGAAAATACATTGTTTAAACTACAATGAGCATCTCAATAGTTGGCAAATCCCTCCTCAGTGACCAAAAATCAGATTGATAGTTCCGAAGATAGACAGAAATGGATAAGTCCTTTTTTATCCTGAATTATTGATCAAATTATCATATGATTCAAGTGGAATAAAAATATGTACCCATGAGTTTTTAGTATCTCATTAAATAGGCAAAATTCATTGATCTCTAGATTTAAAACACCACATTTCATAGAATTTCCGTAATTTAAAAAAGGATAGGTCACGATAAGATGATACCATTCACGAAGTTTTAGACATATGATAATAATTTTATAAAAATATGTCAGTAGCGCGAGCTAGGATTATTAGTTATTTAGGAGTGATTTTATTTGTTATCACTTTCTAAATGGAAAAATCCAAACTCTTTCTGAAAAGAAAAACATTTTTTTTATTCTGGAACTGCAGTGCCCTTAGAATAATAGTACAGTTCAAAAATTATATACATTACTCTGCCATGTAGATATCATACAAAAAATACTAGGAAATTGTAAATATATATATATATATATATATATATATATATATATATATATATATATATATATATATATATATATATATAGATATCAAGGAAAATACAAATCTATAAAAAAATACATTAGAAACTATAAATATCTACAAAAAATATTAACTAAATCACAAATCTATACAATAAATATAGAGATATATAAAAAGTGAATAAATAAAAATATAATGACTTCTATCAATTAACTGCTGGTGACCAACGTAATTACATAACGTTCTGCATACATGTAATCTTGGCCTGTATGTCTGATGAAGCCTGGATTAGAGAAACGTTGGTAAGGTGAACTGTTGGAGACTCATGCCTTTACAATTTAGACTTGTCTATTTATAACGTCTTTTTTGTTATCTCTCTTCTCTTTTTATATTATTATTTATGGAATAGACGTGTATCCACTTTGTTTTGTTGGGTATTGATGTTAAATACACCCCTCTGTTTTTTCATTTTGTATTTATTAATTTTTTCTTCTGCTTTTTAATTTAATTTAATTTAACCATTTTTGGATATTATATTTTATCTCGGCTAATCAGCTGTTTAATAAAATAACCTTAACCTTCCTCTGATGTGTTTAAGAAACCATCTGTATTTACATGGATGTCCATAGCAAATTGTTTTCCTCTCTCTTTTGTTCTTTCTACATATATTTAATCTCGTTTTTCTGCCCTGATGATACCTGAATTGGCTTGAGTTTGAAGGTTGTATGTTCACTCTTATGGTAGAAACTGATGAATTTAGAGTTTTGATGTTTACACCTATAACTTAATCATTTTATTATTGTAGGTTAATCGTTGACTGTGGTGAATAATGAAAACAAGGATAGTTGGGGTGATCCGTCAAAAAAAAAAAGTGGCAAAAATAAATAATAATATTTATTTTAACATTTGCCGACGTATGATAGGTATGATCGCTATTGAGAGAACTAGAGATCGAAGAGATCAATAGCGATCAGCCCTGATGGAGGCCTGAGCTTCGGGTCGAAACGTCAAATATTATTATTTGATTAAATATTATTATTATAAATATTATTATTTATTTTTGCCATTTTTATTTTGACTGATCACCCCAACTATCCTTCTCTTCATTAATCATTTAGGTCTATTTTCGAGCTATATGCTTATTTTATTAATCTTATTTGTAACCTTAGGAGTCTGTTGTTCACTGTTGTACAGTCAGGATCAGTCCATCGCTAAGGCAGGATATGCCGGACTGAGTACATTCCTCAGGTGCCGCGGACTGAGGCGAGGATAGACTGGAAGAGCCCAGACTGAGAGGCTGGAGCGGGACAACGGCCCCATAATGAAGACATGTTGGGCCGAGCTCAGCCAGGACCGCTAGTATATACCCTACGTGCTCTCTCTCTGATTGAGTTATTACCTCTAATTGTCTCTCTCTTTCTCTCTCTCTCTCTCTCTACCGTAGCCGCCATATTTATTACAATATCCCTCTCTCAGTTTGGGAGAGGACTCTCTCCTGTTTGGATCACGTATTTTCTCTCCTCTCTCTGTTTATCTTATACTGCAGCGTACAGTTCGGATGTTTGTACAAACATCGGCTCCGCTCGCAACCTTGAAGAGCGCATCACGTCGCTCAAGTATTTACTATATACTACTGTATTTGTAAACATCTCTCGATGAATCAGATCGTCACACGTGTGAGGATGAGTCAAGGTCGGTTTTACATGGCTCAATCGGAGCGGAAAACTTGTCGTCTTCCTCTCTTGTAAACTTATATTTTATTTACAGATCGGCATTGTGAGTCGAGTCAAACATATATATTTTAACATTTAGCATACTGGAGGCATAGTCTCTTACAAAAGACACCCCTAACAATACATAATGTTTATAACAATGAACTAGTTTAAAGTATATAAAGCAAATTAAATGAAAAATAATTTTATTCTGGGATTGAAGTCCCCTTGGAATAATAGTAGATTTCAAAAAAGTAATCCGGTATGTAGATATAATACAAATATACACAAAAAATACTAAGAAAAATATAAATATACATAAAAAAATACTAATCAAAATACAAATATACATAAAAAAATACTAATCAAAATACAAATATATACAAAAAATACTAAGAAAAATATAAAATTTCATTAAAAAAATACTAATCAAAATACAAATATATACAAAAAAACACTAAGAAAAATATAACAAATACTGAGAGAGAAAAATAAAAGAGTAAATAAATAAAAAATAAATGGCTCCTATCAAGTAACTGCTGGTGATCAACGTAATTATAAAACCCAAAAATTCTTACAAGTTTGCGGAAGTTTGAATTTGTAGTAGGTGGTTGAACAGGAGTTGTTTGAAGGCATTTATAAACGTGGTTTGACATATGGAGATTGGTAAGGAGTTTCAGAAGGATTGTAGCACGGGTGACGTAGGATTTGCGAAGGAAATGACCTTAAGGAAGGGAATATATAAATCTATAGATTGATATTTCATGTTGAGAGAGTGGATAGAAGAGCATAAAGTAGAGAGTTCTAAGATGTAGGAAGGGTTTTTGGTTCTGAGGACTTGGAAAAGGAAAACACCAAGAAGTAATTTCCATCGGAAAGCCACTTCAATTCAGTAAATTAACAGGAAACATGAAAACGAATGAGAAACCCAAAGATGAATCTTATGAAGCAATTCATAAGTTTCTGCGGTCTCGCCTCCAGTCCTGTGGACAGCCCTCTATACACTAAGCAACTGTAGTCGAAGTGGGGAAAAACAAGGGATGTTACAAGGAGCTGTCTGGTCTTTGTTTGTTCTTTTGGAATGGAATCACAAAATCGTAGGAATTGTTTAAGGATACTTATGAATTTATGGATAATCTGGGAAATGTGGTTGTTCCAAGAGAGGTTATGATCAAAGATCACTCCGAGGTTTTTGACTGTCGGGAAGAAATAGATGGGACGGTTATTGAGGAAATGAATAATAATACAATAATTCTGTGTCCCGGAGTTAAAGGACACAACTAAACCAACTTCTACTAAAATATAGGGAAGTTCTTAAATAATAGAAAAATAAATCAAATTAAAATCAGAATATCATAAAGTAAAATAACCAACTTAAATAGGGACACATGTTTGTATAATAATCATAATTACGCTTTTCCTGCCTTGGGAAATGCAGTACTCCATGAGATATCAACCACTAACTTATATTTATTGTTAAAAACTTATATTAAAGTAAAATTAAAATAAAACATACAAGAATAGGATATGGTAAACAGATAGAAGCCACAATAGAGCGGTGAATAGGAAAGGTAGATGGTTCTATTATCTAGCTATTGTGCCCCCTATGGCTGCTCTCCCAAAGGGTTAATCTAATATGGCCGGCGTGCTACCTGTACAACATGGCTTAAGTACAATTTAAAACTAAGCTTTAATTTAATACGTCTTAAAACTTTCTTGCTGAAAATTTACACTTTAAATAAGTAGGATTTCACAAATTACTTCTGAAAGGTAATCTTCCTGTAACAAAGTTTCGATCTCATTTATATCGAGTTCTTTAAAATTAGTAGATTTTTTAAATTATGAGGTATTTTTGCAGAGTAAGCGATTTTTGTTTATGCATTTTTTTTTATATTTAGAGATATTGGTCCAGAATAGGTTTCAATAGTTCTCTTATATAGATAGATTAATAATTAAAATTAAATTTTAAATAAATTATTATTTTATCATTTGTTGTCTCATCACATAATATACGCACTGGACCACTCGTGCTCAGTTATTAATGCTTCCGTGACCATTTAATTGTGTTCAAATTTTACTTGAACAAGAAAAAACTTCCAGGATTTGACAAGCCATTGATCTTAAGGAATTGTCAAAAGTTTTTATCGTTGTATATATCTCTGACGACGTAAACATCCATAGCCCAACCCTGTAGTTGAACTTCAGTTCCGAAAAACATATAGGAACGGATTTGTTTATATTGTTTATTTAAATGAGTAAAAATAGCTGACATGAAAATAAAACAGGCAGTAGAAAGCGGGCAGTTGGAACAAAGCAGCCAATTTTGAACTGCGTGTTGACCCGATACCGTGTAAGAATTCCTCCAGAGCAGGGCCACTCCCACGCAGCCCTTGATATAGCTCCAGACGAGCTCCTTACTGGAGCTGGGTAAGCAGATACTTCCAACCGGTCTGTATTCCTCAGGACCCACAATGTATCCAGTAGTAACCATTCTTCAAGTATCGGGTTCGATCTTCAGGAGGAAAATCAAGTGAGAAAACAGGACGTTCAATCAGAAAACCTTAAGAAAATAAAATACTCCAGTATTCCCCTTTTAAATTAACCGTTGCAAGTTTTCTTGTAATCTTGAAACCAAAAAAAAAATTTAAATATGGCAAAGGCACCTATCATTGACACGTTACCAATTATTGACACTTGTAACTTAAATTTGATAAAATGAGCATATGTAGAATTTCAAACTTGCTCTCTTTAAAACGTACATAAGCCAGTCCTTGAAAGAATGCCAAGTTTGAAATCCTACATATGCTTATTTTATCAAATTTAAGTAACTACTGTCAAAAATTGTGAACGTGTCTATAATTGGTAAGGTGTCAATAATAGATGTGTTAACCCTACCTTCACGTAGGAAAATGTTCCGATTTATTTATTATTTTCTCTCTCAAGTTCTTTAAAATAGATTAAAAAATACTCCACATTGTGTATGAAGGTTTTTGAGCTATTTACTTTTTCCAATGTCCGCGATATATAGTGATTTTTTCAGGAGAGATATCAAAACCGTTTTTTCACATCTTTTCTAAGCCTAAAAGGTTCTTATTTATGTTTTAATTTTTGCGTTATTAAATATTGAATATTTAATAATTGACCGTTGCATTATAAAGGAAAGAGATGGTCCAGGGTGGCGGTCATAAATAGTGGCAAAACTATTTTATTAAAAGACAACGTTTCGACCAGACTTTGTAGGTTTTCTTCAGGGCTAGAATGGACAAGATACAAAAATTATAAACAATGTTAATAAGTTTATTAAAATTATAAACAGTAATACATTACAATATAAACAGAGTAAGCTAAGTAACAAGATCCTAAACTGAAGTAAATAGATGGTAACAATTGTTGTAGTGTAATATATAATATTTGCAAATGTGAATATATTTCTACAGATCTACAGCAGAGATTGAAAAAGGATTAATATGAAATAATAGACATAAAGGAATGTGGAGAAAGAAAAGGAAAAGAAAACTAAAAAATAAATAAATTAGTAAATAAATTAATTTTAATAAGCTCTATTTATTAAGCTCTATCTATTTATAATTTTAATAAGCTTATTCACATTGCTTATAATTTTTTGTCTAAATACTATGTATTTTCATTTTTATTTTATTTTATTATTTTTATTTTATTTTATTTGTTTATTTTATTTTTATTTAACTTCTTCACCAGTATTATTTATTTACTTATTATATTTATATTTATTTCTTTATTATTTGTATATATTGTATGAATGAGAACTTGTAGCCCTAATGCTTATAGCCCTCCAGCAGTGGCTGATTGTATTATTATTCAATAAACAGATTAAAAAAAAAAAATACTATGTCACTTCCACAATTCTCTATATATTTTTGTCTCGTGTCCCTTCTAGCCCCGAAGAAGACCTGCTAAGTCGGTTCGAAACGTTGGTTTTTAATAAAATAGTTTTGCCACTATTTAGCCTATTTATGACCGCCACCCCGGACCATCTCCTTCCGTTATTAAATATTAATTGATATTCGACAGCTACCTAGCTTTATTCCTAAGACTAACCGTATTTATATTATAATTAACAGAAAAACTCAGAAAAACAATTAAGATATAAAATATAGTTTTTTTTTTATGTATGCTTCTTTCGTATTCATCTTTACATTGTTTTCTAGTGTCAGTATATTTTTTTTATTCATTTATCAAGAAACATCCTAATTTTAAATATCCTAATTTTCATTTTTTTCATATCATATTTTGTAATTCCTTTTATACTTTTCACATTTAGTAGTAATATAAATGTACTATATAAAGTGACAAATTTTTAAAATTAATTGATATAAATAAAAATATATTTTTTGGATTTTATTATAATTTTAATATTATAAGAAAAAATATTTAAGTAGAATTGATAATTAAATTACAGGTACGGTTAATCGATTCTTACTAAATTAAATGTTCGATCAAATTATCTAATTTTTTTTTTCTCTAAGATATTTATGATTTTTTATAAAATGGATTTCGTTATTTAAAGCTTATTTAAACGCATAACAAACTTGATTTCTTTAGAAATTATACGAGTTTTCAGATGCAAATTAAGCAATCTGGAATTTTTTAACAGCACTACTGACTTTATCGATGGATGATCGTAATCTGTGACATGTTATCAATATAGAAAGTTATTATAGTCATGTTATATTTGATTGAAAAAAAAATTTGATTCAAATATTAAATTTCTTAATTTATGCTCGAATTAAAAAGGAGAAGAAAAAAAAAACGTATTAGTTCCATGTCGTGAAATAATAAAAATGAAACAGAATGCGGCTAAATTGTAGGTATTAAGGGAAACAAGAGCTGCTATTAAAAATAAAATTAAGAAATTAACAGGTGCGGTTGGGTAAAAGGTAAACTGTAAACTGTAAACTGTAATAGAGCGGCTTGATTTCTCTCAATGAATATTTATAAAGGCCTTCGTCTAATAAAGACATTAATCTCATTCATCCCGCTCCGTAGCTACGTCAAATACCCCTCCCTGTCCCCAGTGGTTAGTTCATTCTCACAGTCAGGATTTATTAAGAAGACCATCCGTAACGATTATTATTTTCATTAATAAATTAGGACAACAATAAAAAGTATGGATAAATAAATAATAAAAGAAAGGTAGTAGAAGTTGAATAATAATAATAATAATAATTACTGCATACAAAGATAAATGAAATTTACAAATGAAGTTTAAAAATAAAATTCACCATAAAGTATTGATTAAGAAATATTATTTTAATAAATAATATTAATTAATTTTAAATTGAATATAGGATTTAAATCTTGAAATGTTAAGAAACAGACTATCCTTTTTGTCTATATCGTTAAAAATAGTAAGTACTTTCCGAAATATTAAAAAAAAAAAAATTGATTAATGATAGTAATTCACAAAGAGAAGGATGTTTGGTGTGATCAGTCAGAAACAAGAAGGCAAAAATAAATAATATTTATTTTAACATTTTCCGACGTTTCGATCTGAAGTTCAGAGCTTCATCAGGGCTAAGAAAAGAACCAGATAATCTATGAGGAAACATAAATAATGAAGGTAAAAAAATTAAAGTAAAATGAAGTGGGTAGAATAATGACAATAGTATAAACTAAGAGATGAATAATAATAATCGTTACAAAGTGTGGAAGGCTGAAGTAAACATAATCAAAAAAGGTGGCATAAGTAATAAAATGTAAAAAATAAAAAAAGGAATATGAAGTTATATAAGAAATGAAAATAAATAGTAAAATTAAGATATTGCAAATAGAATAGTTAATCTATCTAACTATTTATATTTTATTCTAAGATTACCATTTTAATACTTATATCACCTTTTTTGGTTATGTTTACTTCATCATTCCACACTTTGTAACGATTATTATTATTTATCTCTTAGTTCTTACTATTGTCATTATTCTACGCACTTCATTTTACTTTAATTTTTTTAACTAGATTATTTATGTTTCTCATACCTTGTTATCTGGGTCTTTTCTTAGCCCTGACGAAGGCCTCTACTTCAGGTCGAAACGTCGGCAAATGTTAAAATAATTATGAAGATAGTAATTCATGGTCTCAGTTTTGCACCCTTTGAAATAATGACTCTGTATTTTATTCTTTTTCGTATGGAGTATTAGCTTAAAGGTACATAAAATTTTGTTTGGGAATATATTGCAATTATTTGGAATTTAATTTTAGCATGAGTAAAAGCCCTATGGATTTTAATTTGTAGTTAACATAATTTATTTTAACGATGTTATATTTATAGCTAGTGTCTTACACGTCGTAAAAGAAGACGAAATATTTTAACTTCCTTTGTTCTGATGTCTCAAAAGAAAGAAAAAACAAAACAAATATTCGATAAGGCACGAACTTGAATAATGAGATAAGAAATAAAAGATCAATTCAAAAACGTGAAAGAATATCCGCCGTTGGCCGAGGGGAGAAATAATTAGTAAGAAGAGAGTTGATTGGTCGGTCCGACGCTGTAAAAACAGCCAATTAAAACAGCGCTTATCTCCGGCCATCCATTAGGATGGTGAATAGCTAAGGACACTAGCCTCGACTACTTAGGCAAGGAGACATATCTTATTTGACTTGGAAATTGTTGGAGCCTCGATGGGAAGGTAATGGGATCTGGGGGAGGGGGGGAGGGGTTCGAGGGGCGAAGGCGAGGGGGACAAGGGGGGCGAGATAGCACACATCGCTAATTACTGCATCTCTTCTCATATGTGCCATTCCTTCAGCTGACTTGGTTAGTCCTATCTCTGTCTTTGTCCTATCTACTGCCCTATTTATGTAAAGATTCGGCCATGATAAAAGGAATATTACAAGAACAAGACTGATGCTGGGAATCTCCACGGGAGGGTTTTTGGGTTTGAGCCCCCTTTCCCCTTCCCAATAGATTTTTTTTTTTTCAGTGAATCATATTTTATTCCCTGAGTGATCTAATTCAAATTAAAAATAAAATTATACACTTTTTTAAATTATATCGTATTTCAGCTACTAAACATGTTAAGAAAATAATTTTTTTTTTACTATGCCCTCAAGAATCATATAAACATTATTTTATTCGGAAGTACCTAGATAGAGGTTTAATGTCGCAAGTTACACCATCAAAATATTTGAGGAGGCTCATTTAATAGAATTTTGAATTTTTGAGGAGGCCATAGTTCCTCGGTATTATGAATTTTTAGAGTAAAAAGTTTTAAACCAGAGAACGAGAGGTAAAAGGTGGACTAGACTACAGTAAGTCATGGGCGGATCTACGGAGAAAGGGGGAGGGGTTTCGGGCTAAAGACCCTCCTCCCCCCCCCCCAAATGGGAAAATATAACCATGTTTTATCGAAAAAAATATTTAAAAATTATCTTTCAAAGTATTATTGTTCATGTAATTACATTATAAGAGCTTTAGGAATCACTTAAACACCAATTCATAAAGGTAGTTAGTT